ACTGCGACATGGTGGCAGGGAGGCGTAAAGTCATGTATATATAAGTGATTTTGTAATACCAGGTGGAGGGCGCACGTGCGCTCCCTACCCATGTCGCTCTTGGCTCCTCAGCATGTCAATCACCGATTCTCTTGGTGATCATCGATGGAGCTGACAGGGGAGAGGTCTGTATGTAAACAAACATGCATAGCAGAGCAATACAAAGCAGCTTGTCTACATAGTAAAAAACACACACAGCACACTATGTAAAACACAACACAGCACACAGTTAACTCTTTAATCGCCCCAGATGTTAACCCCTTCCTGCCCAGTGTCAGTGCTTTTTATTAGCTAACTCTCAGTGGCAGTTAGTTCCCCTCCAGCATCAGAATGCCTGCTGCAATCCCGCAATATGTTGCTGATTGCTGCCATTACTAGTAGAAAAAAAAATTATAATAAAAATTCCAGCTATAACTTTCATGCAAACCAATTCATGTACACGTATTGGGATTATTTTTTAGCAAAGACGTGTACCAGAATACATTTTGGCCTAAATTTATGAAGAAATTTTATTAAAAAAATTTTTTTTACTGGATATGTTTTATGGCAAAAAGTCAAAAAAATATATTTTTTTCAAAATTGTCAGACGTTTTTTGTTTATAGCACAAAAAAAAAAACCAAACGCATAGGTGATCAAATGCCACCAAAAGAAAGTCCTATTTGTGGGGAAAAAAAGGACATAAATTTCAGTTATGTAGAACGTTGCATGACCGCGCAATTGTCAGTTAAAGTAACACAGCGACATGTCACAAAAAAATGGCCTGGTCAGGAAAGGGGGTAAATGGAGGGCAAGTGGTTAAATAATTTTGTCCCTTCCTTGCTTCATAGCTAGGAGATGCTCTCTAACGCTAGTCCCACCCTCTTTTCTATGTCTCTTTCATTTCTGTTCTGAGATCATGTAATTGCTGGAACTAGTCATATTGGTATTGATTTACTTAAACCGCCGAGTTCAAAATCTGGTGCAGCTGTGCAGGGTAGCCAATCAGCTTCTAAATTCAACTTGTTTAATTGAGCTTCGACAAAAACTTGAAAGTTGATTGTGTCACGTACCTTGGTTGAAAGCCGAGTTGACGAGAGGGCTTCCCTTGTGGCTCTAGTATGAGCACCCCTGAATGTGGTGACAGAGGTACAAGGCTCAAAGAAGCACAGGTGCCGATAGCTTGATAGCAGGTGACCTGCCACGGTCAGGGATGTAGTGATAGTGAGGCAAGGTTATACACAGTGAGACAGCAGTGTGGTCAGGAGGTAGGCTGGGGTCAGTACCAGGTTAGCAAGCAGAGCGAGGTCCAGTAGCAAGCTGAGGTCCACACCAGGAGATCAGGCAGAGAATGTCAAGGGTTAACCGAGGTCATCACCAGGAGATCAGGCCTTGTAAGTCCTCTTGTAAGGAAGTAAAAGATGACATAAATTCCTCACTCAGTCCTGTTTAAAGCCCAATATTTCCCATTTCCCTAAAAAGTGCTGCTAATCGATAAAAATCTAGAGCAAACAGTAGTAGGGAGAAAAGACACCCATGTTTCATACTCCCTTTAAAGCAAAATGGCACAGAAAGGTTAGTCATGGGTGCTCAGCATAGAGATAGAACTCATCTAATAAATCCCAGAGACAGGGCCACTCAACACTGGTAAAGGTGTTGGTGGCATCTAGTGACAGTATTGCCCAGTTATCCATGTTCTCCCAGGCAATATTCATATTCAGGAACAGGTGCTTTATGTTGATGGCTGCGGATCAAGTGGGGATAAATCTGGATTGATCACCATGAATCATTTTATGTATTATTTTGTTTAGTCTATTGGCAAGTATTCCTGCTAGATCACTAAGATCAGTAGAGGGATGAGACGATAGGATATAAAAAGCAGTTTGTCTTTCCCTAGTTTGGGTAACACAATAATGATAGCATTGTTCATAGACAAATGTCGGGTTGGGTGGGTGCCAGTAGAGGCCGCCTCATTCCATACCTCCAATAGTTTGGGGTTAACAGTATGGACAAAGGCCTTATAGTTTTCAGGTGGTAGGTTATTCATACCCAGAATCTTGTTATTGGGGGCTTTCAAGCAAAAGCACTCAAAGTAGACAGCAAAAGTATGCATGTCCCATTAGCATTTTTCAGGTGATTACAGAAGAAATTTACTTGGGATGAAACAAGAATACTTGCACCTCTGGAAAAAAGAGGAGTACCTTGAATGATATTAAACCGTATATTTCACAATGAACAGTGTCTCTACATAATGTGCATCTCCTGAAAGCACACAAAGGAGGATGAATAGTGTTAAAAGTTAAAGAACAGTGCATGTCTTTTATCAACATCCCTCACTCCTATAACATTCCAACATACTATAGTGCAGTATTCAGCCGTTTCCATAATGGGAAAAAGGTAGTTTTCCAGATGTTCTGCTGGTGATTTCTAGGAGGCCCTAGCATATGTGCAAAGTCTTCATCTAGGAGTAGTAATAGAAAGTGGATGATAGCAATGTCACAGAATGAAATAAGTATCATCATCAAGAAAGACTGTAGCCCAAATGGACAGCAAGCATTTGAAAAAGACATACCCCAACAGTTACACTCAAAACAATAACAATGAAAATACATGCAGGACAGTTGGACAGGATGCAGGGTTAGGTGGTCTTACAAGTTTTTGCTCGTTGGGTCTTGCCAACTCACTGCAGCTTGTGATGTGTTTTCCCTTTGACAACAACTCGCAGCTGGGCTGGGTACATTGATGCATACAGTATATTTAAACATTTGAGGCATTTCTTTACATTTGGAAATGCAGCTCTCTGATGCAGTAATTTGACTGAGTAATCCGGAAACAATGCCATTTTTGAGCCATTTATCTTGATATTTTCCAGCTGTCTAGCTTTGTTCAAAATAATATCAATATAAATTGAGTAGTTTAAAATAAATCAATTTATCTTGATATATCAAAATAATATAACTAGTAATATAATATAACTATCAGCTGGAGGTTGATGGGCTTTATGTCATTTAGTCATGGCCACACCGTCACAAGGCATTTGGTGTAATGGAGATTAATGGGATAGTTAGTAGTGCAAAACTCCAACAGGATCAGTGTCAATGGATAGCAGTCAGACAAGGCAAAAGTGGACACATGGTCCATCAAGCCACGCATCTAAAATGTGTATTTTAACAAGTTGTGGATGCTGGGTGTACTACGTACACTACAATCTCACCTATAGTTCCTAGTTCAAGAGAAGGTGGCTACATTCCTACATACAATGGGATCATGAAGAATTAATATAGGCACCCTCTAACAGGAATTCAGATCACAGCAGCAAAAAAGGAATTTGAAGATCTGGAGGAGGTTGAGAGCAATAGAAGGTAATTTTTAGAATTAAGAATACATATATGAAAAAAAATAATTTAAACCACAGTTTAGTGTGACTTTTAATTATTACTTTTCTTGTTTTTATCCTTTATTTCTAACCATTAAAATGTAAACTTTTCAATGATTTGAACCAGAATCGCAGTTTTGTGTCATTTAAAACAGGACAAATTATAGAATAAAATGCTTTTTAAATACACAAACAATATTTTTTAACTAATAATAATACTTTGTACCAGAAAAAGGAATACCGCACAACAAGATGCAAAATAATATTATCCCTTTATTTAAATAGCCACACAGTAATAAAATCAACTTTGACAAGTTCCATGCTAGAATGCTGTCAGGATCCAGAACTGAACCTGGAACCTCTGCAGTGTCTGACTCTGTGTCTCTTCTCGCTAATGATGAGCTGAACACCCCATGTTCAGTTCGAGGTCGAACGTTCGAAGATAATGAACGTTCGACCACAAACTTTAAACTCAATGCAAGTCTATGGGAGGTGAACTTGTAAACTGAAAAGTGCCCATTTGAACGTTTTGCAACTTATTGGCCATAAAAGGGGTATGGGGACTTGGATACTGCCCTGAGGGATGTGATTCAGTGAAAAAAAATTCAAAAAGTACCAAAGGGGCAGTTATTTTTCATTGCTCAAAGTAAAAAAAAAAAAAAAAAAAAGAAAAATTCCTTTAAATATTGTGCCCGGGTGGTCTCCTTAAAACTACCTGCAAAGTTGCATATCTGTACAATCTGTAGAACCTGCTGCAGGACTCACATTTTTTTTTTACATTTTTATTTAAAAAAAAAAAAACACAGCATGGGGTCCCCTCCCTAATCCTTACCAGACCCTTTAGGACTGGTAGAAAGGTTAGGAGGGACCCCACAGTAATTTTTTTCTTTTTTTTAAATGTGTGTGGGGTTTCCCCTAAAAGCCACACTAGGCCCTTTACACCTGGTAGGACTTTTAAGGGGAACCCCACCCCCAAAAATGGGATGGAAGCGTGGGTTCCCCCCTAAATTCCTACCAGACCCTTGATCCAAGCACTGACCTAGCAGGGCAGAAAATGGACAGATGATTGAGAGTGTGCGCCTCCTACCCGGAAATACAAAATCACGTATATATACGTGATTTTGCACAGTCCTGCCACCCTGTAGCAGTAGTTCTGCTATAGGGCAGTCAGGAAACAGTTAATGACTGGCATAGTACCACTGGATTGGCGTAAGGCCAATGTGGTGCCTATATTTAAAAGGGATCAAAGTCTCTACCAAATAAATATAGGCCTATTTAAATTCTATAGTTGGGAAAATACTGGAGAGTTTAATAAAAGACCACATACAGAAGATGAGTTCTTGCTAGGAAAAAATATTTAAAGCAACAGACATATTTTAAGTGAGCATTCATAAAGACAGGAAGAACGGTCTGGATAAAAGCGCACAGATGTGTCCCAAAGGAAATAAGTGAATGGTATATGTCAACTATGATTGGTGGGGAAAAAACTCACTGCTGCCATGGTAAAAACACATCGGTTTGTGGGAGGTATGAACAGGAGCCAGGCGCTGTGTAGTTTTGTGATAGAAATAATACACCTTGTATGGAGGTGTGTCTTTAATAAGTCATATGGTAAAACAATAATAAATAACCAGCCTGTGGCTTTAGGAAGCCAGGTTCCAAGATGGACGGCCCGTCCGCTCAGAGGGAAGCAGTGGAGTAGAATGCCTGTCAGTGCAGGGACCACGTTTACCCGATGTCCCAGCGTCCTGGATGACGTCACCACGATGTGGAGAGACAGAGGGGGGGAACTCTTGCTGGAGCCGCAGCTTTAGAAGGAAGAGGCCGGTTGCTGGGACAACATGTTTCGCGCGCATGCGCTTTGTCAAGTCTGTGAAAAGTCCAGCAATCGGCCATTTAATAGGAGACCTGCACGGCAGAAGGGGCCGGCTTAACAACCAAGGGGATAATCAAAGGGATAATCAAGAGCAGACGGCTCGTCTCACAACAGGATCAGATTGCAATTGAAATATGAAAACACATTATAAGGACAGGCATTCTACTCCACTGCTTCCCTCTGAGCGGACGGGCCGTCCATCTTGGAACCTGGCTTCCTAAAGCCACAGGCTGGTTATTTATTATTGTTTTACCATATGACTTATTAAAGACACACCTCCATACAAGGTGTATTATTTCTATCACAAAACTACACAGCGCCTGGCTCCTGTTCATACATTCATAAAGACAGAACTTGTCAAACAAATCTGATTTCTTTTTATGAGGAGGTGAGCAAAACCTTGGACAGAGGGGTGGTGGTGGACGTGGTATACTTGGATTTTGGAAAGCGTTTGACACAGTTCCCCACACATGGCTAATGTGTAAGGTAAAGTCTACAGGCTTGGAAAAATATGTATGTAAATGGATAGAAAACTCGCTAAAAGATCGTATTCAGAGAGTAGTGGTTAATGATTCATACTCTGAATGGTCTAGGGTTGTCAGTGGTGTACCCCAAGGTTCGCTGTTGGAACTCTTACATTTTAATAAATTTATAAATTATATAGGCTCTGCAATTAAACCTACTATTTCAGTCTTTGCAGATAACACCAAGCTGTGCAGTGGAATAACGTCCTTACAGGATGTCTCCAACTTACCAGCCGACATCAATGCAATGTTTAATTGGGCAACTATGAGGCAAATGAGGTTTAATGTTGATAAATGTAAGGTTATGCACTTGGGGGCTAAGAATATGCATGCATCATACATACTAGGGGGAGTACAACTGGGGGAATCAATGGTGGAGGATCTGGGAGTTCTGGTAGATCACAAGCTTAATAATGGCATGCATTGCCAAAGCTGCGGTTTCTAAAGCAAGCAAAATCCTTTCTTGTATTAAGAGAGGTATAGAGAGAGAGATATAATTGTACCCCTGTACAAATCATTAATAATGCCTCATCTGGAATATGCAGTTCAGTTTTGGGCACCAATTCACAAAAAGGATATTGGGGAACTGGAGAAAGTGCATAGAAGGCCAACCAAACTGATAAGAGGCATGGAGGAGCTCAGCTACCCTTCTGTTCTTTACAGCCAAGGAAGCTGCTTCTGTTTGATCTGCAACTGCCATGATGTTTCACATGTGATCAGTTATGACACCAGCCATTTGATAGTTTCGCTTTATGATTTACAGCTGTTCAGGGACTGTGGGCTTCAGCAAAATGGCAGCTTCTAGCAAGAAAAATCAGGAACAATGATGGAGGCAATTTATAGCACCCACTAATTTTGGTAGCATAATTATTTATGTGAAATGTATGTTCTTTGCTAAAGGACATTATTTTTTATCCAGTTGTTATGGGTAAAGTTCCGCTTTAATCTCCAAATACGGAAAGGTTTTTACACAGTAAGAGCTGTGAAATGTGAAATAGACCCCCTCAAAAGCTGGTTCTGGCCAGCTCAATAGATTGCTTGAAAAAAGGCCTGGATTATTTCCTAAATGCAACATAATTGGATACTAACATTTATAGGTAAAGTTGATCCAGGGAATATCCGATTGCCTTTCGGGGGATCAGAAAGGAATTTTTTCCCCTGCAGGAGCAAATTGGTTCGTGTTTTGCTTGGGTTTTTTTGCCTTCCTCAGGATCAACTGTGAGTATAGGATTGTGTATATAGGATTGTATACTTTTTTACTTTTTACTGGTTGAACTAGATGGACGTGTGTCTTTTTTCAACCAGACTAGCTTTCTAACTATGTAAAGTGAGCATAAGGGGTTGGGGGAGGGGTCTGTTTGCGAAGATGCTATCACTTTGCCGTGCATGTGCCTCTAAAAAAAAAAAATATCAAAGAATTTTTACCAATCTTTGTGTTTTAATTACATAAAATTCTTATTAGCACAATTGGTGAGCTATTTTAGGCTTTGAGAGACCACTAAAAACAATTCACCTGGAAAGGAGTGACTAAAACCTATGGTAGATAATTCAGAACCAACCCCCTGCTGCATCCTTCCTGGGTGCAGAGGGTGGTGAAGAGTCTGCAGCACATCAGCATTAATAACTGGTGCTTTAGGAAGAATACCCTGTTTTTTGGGGGAAACCACTGTTAAAGCACCCCCAAATGTCTGTGCAATAGCACACAAATAGTAGTGGAGCTGGATGCTCTCAGCTTCCTCACTATAGGAATACCAGCTCACATGCCTGGCACGCCTAGTCTACATGGTCAGCTGGAAATACTACCTAAATTTTCCAGCATTTGAAGCTTAACCAAAGGATTAATCATAAATGTCTTCCTTCTGTTTATACATTTATTTTTACTAGTCATCTGGTATTTAGGTAATAACTCTCTAATTAGCAAATTATGCCAAACTTCGTAAAATCTTGGAAAATATAACCAGGAATGCCCTAAAGGTTAGAGATAAATTATTTTGCATGCAGCAAACACTGCACGAAGAATCAAATTGACATTTTCCAACTATTTTTTAAAGTTAAACTGATTCTAAAGGTTCTTTTTTTTTTTTTGTAAAATAACAAACATGCCTATACTTACCTACTGTCTGGAGTGGTTTTGCACAGAGCAGCCTGTACCCTCATCTTCTAGAGTCTCCTGCTGGCGCTCCTGGCTCCTCCTGTCTGTCTAGCAGCTTGCTATGGGAGCACCCACTGCTCCGTGTGACCAATCACACACACACAGCTGTGGCTTGGCCCTGCCCCTTATCTCTCCTCATTGGCTGACTGGCTGTGATTGACAGCAGCGGGAGACCTGGAACAGCTGAGGCTGTCATTCACATCGCTGGATTGCGATGAGGCTCAGGTAAGTATTGAGGAGGCTGGGGGCACTGCTGCACACAGAAGGTTTTTTTTTACCTTCATGCATAGAATGGATGAAGGTAAAAAACATTAAGCATTTACAACCACTTTAAATCTGATTGCTGTGTGAGTTGGGCCACTGGCAGTTTTTTTTTTTTCTTCATTTTTCTATAGTGTGTACAGTATATTTTAAACTTTTATACAAGACATGTTCTCTTAACTAGGGACAGTTTCTCACTTTCTATCAAAAAATTTTGTTTATAAAAGTTGCACAACACAAAAGATTTTTTTGCCAAAATAAAGGTTAATCTTGGCCAAACCGCAAAATTCTCCTACTGGGCCTCAACCAGAAAAAATCAGCTGCAGTGTGCACATAATGTATAAATCATGAAATCATTTAGAAACCATATCATAGACAAAAGCTAAACCACATGACCACTATTAATAAGAACATTGTTTTCTGCTGAGGCAAAATATTTCTTAATAAAAAAGGTCATGGCTTTTGCACAGTCACCATTGATTAGGGTATCCTGAGGCATGAAACAAATTACTAAAATGAAACAATGGTATTTTGCTTTTAAATCAAATAAAAAAAAAAATATACAAACCCTTATACAACAACAGGGCTTGATTCCGTGAGCTGTATCAGTTATTCTAGCCGTATTTTCTATTTTAGCCAGTCATAATATATTTATCAAAACACTGACATCACACATCAAACAATGCATCATTGTGCAATGGTTATTTATTTTTATTTATTTTTGTATTAAATTTAACTACTGCAAGATTCTATTTTCTTTGTTTTATCTCATGAAGTGTTATTTTATCACCAGCTCAAACTAACTACTTTTGTACATCCCATCAACAGACAATCAATAAAATCCATTATCAGCATTAGTAAGTTGCTTGATACTGTAAATTAGGGCTATTGCCATGAACTTATAAAAACAAAAACTTGCGCTGTATATAGATCATTTAAAAAACAAAATGTAAAAATCTACATGTTGGGCCAGGGACGGATTGACCATTTGAATACTTGGGCACTGCCCAAGGCCCGGGGTCAGTAGGGGGCCCCATGAAATGCCCCTGGTACATTTTTATAGGCTTTTTTTGGGTGTGCTTTGAGTGTGGGCAAAGACACAGGGGCCCCATGATCCCCTATTGCCCGGGGGCCCCATGAGTTGTCAGTCCGCCCCTGCGTTGGGGAGTATTTTAGGCACATATGGGCATATACACATATGATACAACCCAAGAAAAGCTAGAAGAATTTTTACATGTATGTACACGTGTGTGCAAAAATGTGCATTTACAGCCCATCCTTGCATCTTTATGCTGGAATTTTCTGCCAGATATCTGCTGTTCATACATAAGTACCATGTGCAAGGAACCTTGTATGTAACAGCAGAAAAAGAATATATTACAAGTTACCAAATCTGCTGACTACATCCTCTTCTTTTGACAACACTGTCTCACTATACTGTATCTATGACGCAGCAGTATTATCCCCTTAACCACTTGCCTACAGGGCACTTATACCCCCTTCGTGCCCAGACCAATTTTCAGCTTTCAGCGCTGTCACACTTTGACACTTCGGTCATGGAACACTGTACCCATATGAAATGTTTAGCATTTTTTTCACACAAATAGAGCTTTCTTTTGGTGGTATTTAATTGCCACTGGGTGTTTTATTTTTTTCTTTGTTTCTATTATAACATTTTGCAAAACGGGTAATTTTTCTCCTTCACTGATGTGCGTTGATGAGGGTGCACTGATAGGCAGCACTGATGGGCACTGATAGGCAGCACTGATGGGCACTTTTGAAGTGGCACAGATAGGCGGCACTGATGAGCTGGCACTGATGATGCTGCACTGATGGGCAGTACTGATGGTCACTGATGGGTGGCACTGACTGACGGCACTGCTGGGCACTGCTGGGCGTCACTGATGGGTGGAACTGATGGGGGCACTGCTGGGCATAGGGGGGTGGCACTGATGGGCACAGGTGGGTGGCACTGCTAGGCACTAATGGGTGGCACTCATGGGCACAGGTGGGTGGCACTGCAGGGCACTGATGGGCACAGGTGGGTGGCATTGCTGGGCACTGATCATCAGTGCCGATCTGTTCTCTGACAATTGCTGGTTATCGGCAGTACTTTCCTTACGCTGTGACAGAGTGAGGAAAGTGCAGCTGATAACCAGAAACTGTATTTACCCAGTGATCAGCTGTGTCATTGGACACAGCTAATCATGTGGTAAAAGGCCAATGTGATTGGCCTTTTACCACATCATGTGATCAGCTGTGTCCTTAGGACACAGCAATCACAGAGATCGCTGGGTGCACACCACTTGGGACGTGTGGGAGGGCGCGTTCTGGGAGGATGTCATATGACACCCTCCCAGAACTGAACAACCGTGCTGTAGCTGTCATTCGGCTATAGAGCGGTAACCAAGTGGTTAAAGGAAAGGTTTACCATTAGCAACCTGTTATGTTACACCCATATTTGAGGTGTAAAACGTTGCTAAGGACTGAACATTGATTTGACCAAAGGCAAATAGGCTGTTCACTCTGCAAGGGAAGATGCGCCCTCCGAGGGAATTTTTCTCAGAGCTTAGTGAATGTGATAAAATTTACTTTGCAAAGGATACCAAATTATGTGCAAGGAAAATTAAAAAAAAAACAAAATTGTTTGCATTCAAATGGTTTGGATGATGAAAGTCAGGAGTACTGTCATGTCATTCACTAAGTTGTAGGGAAAATTCGCTTGCGAAGTGCAACTTCCCTTAAAAAGTGAGCAGTATATTTGCCTTTAGTAAACTGATCCCAATGTTTTCAACAGTATATTTAACAAACTAAAGTGGGAACAAATAAGAGGCATTCATTCTAAGGGCTGATTTACTAAAGGTGAATAGGCTGTTTACTTTGCACGGGAATTTGCCCACAGCTTAGTAAATGTAATGAAGTGTCACTTACCCAGTTATGTGAAAGGAAAAACATTTTATGCTTGCACATGATTTGATGATGGAAGTCAGTAGAGCTTTACCTCATTTACTAAGCTCTGGGGCAAATTCACGTACAAATTGTAACTTTCCTTGCAAAGTAAACAACGTATTTGCTTTTAGTAAAGCAACCCCTTAGAGTTTTATTTTTGCCCTTTGCCCAACTGTACATCCAGAGCCATTGGTTTATAGCACAGATATAAATTCATGTTATAGAGCAATTTATTCCAAACTGCATACGGCTGTTTCAGGCTTGTTGGCTATCTTCAGGGCAGTGCATGGAAGCAATTGGGTTAATTTACTAAAACGGCAGAGTGCAAAATTCGGAGCAGCTGTGCATGGCAGCCAATCAGCTTCTATCTTCAGCTTGTTCATTTAAGCTTTGACAATAAAGCCTGGAAACTGATTGGTTTCTATTCAGAGAGTTAGTAAATCAACCCAATTGGTTTCTATTGAGCAGGGCTTGTATGAGAAATCATAACTTGTTGGTTGTACTTTATCAGTCCCATAACCTTACTCCAATGAAACCATTGTATTCATGATTATGACCACTGTCCTAATGAGGTATTCCCTACCAGGCCAATTCTGGCATTTCTCTCCTACATGGAAAAATCATAATTTTTTGCTAGAAAATTACTAAGAAGCCCCAAACATATTATATATATTATTATATATATATATATATATATATATATAATTTTTTATTATTTTTTTTTGGCACAGACCCTAGACAATAAAATGGAGGTCATTACAATTTTTTATGTCACACCGTATTTGCACAGCAATTTTTCAATAAAAAATGTTATTTAAAAAAAATACACTTTAATTAATTTTAATGCAAAAAAACACAATATATAACCCAATTTTTTGGTAACCAATGATGCCAAGTATATACTGTACATACCTAACATGTCACACTTTAAATGTGTGCACATTTGTGGAATAGCGCCAAACTACAGTACTTAAAAATCTCCATAGGCGATGCTTTAAAAATTATTACAGGTTACCAATTTAGCGTTACAGAAGAGGTCTAGCCCTAGAATTATTGCTCATGCTATAACGTTACCTCATATGTGAGTGTGACCTACGTGCGTTAATTTCTGCTTGCAAGCACGAGGGCACGAGTATGCTTTAATTTTATTTTTTTAATTATTTTATTTTTTTTTTTTTTTTTACACTGACCCTCTATTTTTTATCATTTTTAATCATATTACAAGAAATGTAAACATCCCTTGTAATAATAATAAGGAATGACAGGTCCTCTTTTGGAGAGATCTGGGTCTATAAGACCCCAGATCTCTCTATTATGCTGGAAAGCATGAGATAAAGAAAAATGTATCTCAGGCTTTCCAGCAAACAAAAGGTAGTGTTTACATCTGCCAGAGCCAGAAGTGATGTCATGATGTCCCTTCCAGCCTCCCAGGATCATAGAGATGGCTGGGGACCATCTGGTTTATGACCAGTTCTATGGTAGCGTCAGATATGACCGTTGGATGGCGGAAGGGGGAGAATGTCTCCTCCTGCTGCCTGTATAAGCAATCCAGCAGCTAATCAGCCACTAAGATGGCTTTTACAAGAGAGGGAATCACCAGCTGAATACAAAGATATCTAGATGATGCCTGTAGCTGCAGGCATCATCCAGATATCACCACTTTCAATCAAGGACATCCTATGACGTTGTACAGGCAGGAAGTGGTTAATATAGTAATTTGGGGATTTGTGATTGAATGAGATTTGTAAATACCTTGTGTACTAAGAAGTGTTCTGCTGTGCTTATCTGCTTGATCAGAGGAGGGAGTTTTGGTTCCTTTTAGCCCACCTCATCATAACCTTATACTTTGTCGTTAACCATAGTTCTAATTTTAGAGTGTTTCATTATTATTCAGAAGAAATATACTAACCACGGTAGGCACAGACTGCTGTAAGGCGAGGTGTCAGCACTCACAAAGTTTTAGTGGAAAGTTATATTCAAATAAATGGTATATTTTACCTAATATGCCTTTTTTTGCTTTCCCAGAGTTCCCTTTTGATGTTTTCTTTATAAATTCTAAAAGTCTTACATAGCAGTTGTGTGCAATCAGTGGCATAAATGTTTGTCTCATGGGTTTCATATCATAAATATACCTTTGCTTATAATATATACTTTTATGGTTATAATCTCAACCTAAAACTATGCAGGCCTGGACTGCATCTGAAATGTGGTCTACATAATATAATAAAGATAATTATAGCTCCTGGTTGATTAAACACTTTAGTAATTACATTTCAGTAAGGAGATACTAATAAACAAATCAGCAAAGGATTGGGTTTTCGTTTTGTTTTAAAGGAACTGGATGTTGTAAGTCCTGTTTCTGGAAATTAAATTCCATTCTAGTATCCTAGATTACTCTTCCCATGTTAATCAGATCCTGCCTTGGGGACAGCTGGCTGATGCTTACACATACCATCATCTAATCATAGGAGGAGCATATGCTTTCTGTTATAACCTTCCAAAATGACCACAGTAAAAGCTCCTTTTGCATTTGGTTCTGTCAAAGAAAGTCACTACCCGATGTGTAGAACAAATCTGTTTTAGTGATGCTTCAGTACAGAGCATGTTTAAGTGTTAAGATGACAGTATTATTATTATTATTACCGCATCCCCAGAGTCATATACACTATATTGCTTTAATGGCATCCCAGTCTTAGTCCGTAGGGTTCAATATTGAGTTGACCCACCCTTTGCAGCTATAACAGCTTCAATTCTTCTGGAAAGGCTGTCCACAAGGTTTAGGAGTGTGTCTATGGGAATGTTTGATCATTCTTCCAGAAGCGCATTTGTGAGGTCAGGCATTATGTTGGACGAGAAGGCCTGGCCCGTACTCTCCGCACGAATTCATCCCAAAGGTGTTCTGTCGGAACCAGGTCAGGACTCTGTGCAGGCCAGTCAAGTTCATCATCCACAAACTCATTCGTCCTTTATGGACCTTGCTTTTTGCACTGGTGTGCAGTCACATTGGAACAGGAAGGTTGGGAGCATGAACGTATCCAAAATGTCTTGGTGTGCTGAAGCCTTAAGAGTTCCCTTCACTGGAACAAAGGGGCCAAGCCCAAACCCTGAAAAATAACCCCACACCATAATCCCCCCTCCACCAAATCACCCTCCACTTGGCACAAAGCAATTAAGCAAGTACCGTTCTCCTGGCAACCACCAAACCCAGACATGTCCATCAGATTGCCAGACAGAGAAGCATGATTTATCACTCCAGAGAACATGCCTCCACTGCATGTAAGGTTTGGATGCAGCTTCTCGGCCATGGAAACCCATTCAATGAAGCTCTCTATGCACTGTTGTGCTAATCTGAAGGCCACACAAAGTTTGAAGGTCTTTAGCTATTGACTCTGAAGACAGTTGGCGACTTCTGCGCACTGTGCACTGAATTTATTCTCTCTTGAGAAGAGGAGATTAAGGGGGGATATGATCAGCATGTATAAAATATATCAGTGGTTCATATAGCGAACTCATGTAGAGTTATTCACCCTGAGATCATCACAGAGGACAAGGGGGCACTCTTTATGTCTGGAGGAAAATAAATTTAATCTCCAAACATGGAAAGGTTTCTTCACAGTGAGCTGTGAAAATGTGGAATAAACTCCCTCAAGAGTTGGTTCTGGCCAGCTCAGTGGATTGCTTTAAAAAAGGCCTGGATTCTTCGATACACAGAATATAACTGGATACTAACATTTATAGGTTAAGTTGATCAAGGGAATATCCGATCACTTCTCGGGGGATCGGGAAGGATTTTTTTTCCCTGCAGGAGCAAATTGGATCATGCTTTGCTGGGGGTTTTTTGCCTTCCTCTGGATCAACTGTGGGTATAGGATTATAACAATTTTTTTTTTTTTTAATGGTTGAACTGGATGGACTTTTGTCTTTTTTCAACCAGACTAACTGTAACTAACTATGTAACTATGTAATTTGAAATGCTGTTGTTCCCAGTTGCTTCTACTTTTTTATAGTACCACTAACAGTTGACCGTGAAATATTTAGTAGCAAGGAAATTTCATGGATATGTCCAGATCTGCCGTGCTTGTTAGAAGGTTGAAGTTAGAAGCTGATTGGTTACCATGCACAGATGCA